TTTTCTCTTAGATCTCATTAACGTTGTGCAAACTGCTCGAAAGAATCAAACATCCCCTCAGCCATTAGTCAAAAGGAATGCATCCCCTTATCACTCGCTTAAACGGTTAACGATCAGCAGGGATATTCCATCTCAGACTGGATTACGAAGTATCTGTAAGGCGCTTGAGAATGAATTCTGTCCCATTTCTGAACTGGTCCTAGAATTTGTTAAGCCTCTTTTCGAATGTGTTTCTACGATTGAAGAGATGTTGCCACTTTCAAATTTACTTGAACTGCGTTTGTATCATTCTCCAATCACCGACGCTGGTGTTGTTAGTCTTTGTCAAGCATTACAGACTGCAACCGGTCAAGTCACTACATTACACCTGGAAAGGAATGAGATCACCGATACTGGTGTTGTCAGTCTATGTGAAGCATTACAGACGGCAATATGTCAAGTCACCACACTACATTTGACTGATAATCAGATCACCGATGCTGGTGTTGTTAGTCTTTGTCAAGCATTACAGACAGCAACATGTCAAGTCACCACATTACATGGTCTATAAATTGATCTCTCATTAGTCGAATCATTTAAATGTCTTACAAATGATCTGATTTCGTGAGGAGAAGTAACATATTCCAATCAGACTCAGAAATAAGATTTTTATGACAGCTATTTCAGTGGCTTTCGCTTTCGCTTTCCTGACCTTCTGGCCTCTTTTTATCCATTCCTATCATTCATGCTAAATGACTCAGAAGATTATATGTAAGCAATAGCGAAAATCAGACCTGAAAAAAATTCAGGTCTGATTTTCGCTATTGCTTAAATAGCGCTATCTACTGCGAGGATCGTGCATCATACGTATCTAATACCGCAGTTCAAAATATATGAACTTCATATATTTCATTGTATCCAAACGGATTTACATCAAATTTGCGCAGTGCAAATCTGAGCAAATTTGGTGCAAACATAGCAAAGACAGAGCAATGGTGTAAATGCCACATTTGCTCATACATTTAGTACCCGGTGCAAATGTATGAGCAAATGTGGCATTTACCACCATTGCTTTCAAATATGGTGAAAATCCATTTTTTCGCGCAGTGGTGGGCCCATGAGATGATTCCAATCTTTGCAGCCTCGTTGTGGATTGACGCCATCATTATCCTTTCTTGCTTGTCCTCTTGTTCATCAGAAATCGATGCGGATGGATGTCTAGAAGTCGCATGCGCCGCGTAGTTTTCCAGGGAGGTGTGCAATGTCGAATCGCCAAGGAAGAGTTCTCTGTTTCAGTCGAAATAGGCGTGAGTTGGTTATCTCATCGAGTGTGCGGTCTCCAAACACTTTGGTCAGGAGCTTATGGTGGGTGACAACTATGAGGTTGTTAAAACCTTGCGTAAAGTAACGGGTCTGCTCCAGGCCCCGTGCGACTGCCAGGGCTTCTTCCCCGATGGCAGCAAATCGCTGTTTGACGGGATTGAGGAATCGTGAACCAGCTAGAGTGATTTTACAGCCTCCAGGGCAACAATCGGGGAGGTCCGAGGGGCATTGGCAATGCTTCTGGAGTAGAAAATACCCTATTCCACGACGTGACCAGTCTGGACGAAGGTATGTCCGTCGCGTGATGTCAAAGATTTCTTCTCCATGACAGAAAGCCTCGAGAATGGCATCCTTTGACGATTTGAATGCATAGGGAAGTTCTTCAGACCATGAGAATTTGCATCGCGGGCTTAGGAAAGGTTTGAACGGCGCCGTGGTTTCCTGAAACTAGGCGTAGTTCGGCACCTGATTTACGAGGCCGAACCTGCTCCTGATGTCTGTGGTAGAGGTGGGGGTTGAGTAGTCTCTGATGGCGTTCAGGTACTAAGGCAATGGCTCGATTGACGAGGCAGAGATTCTGAATCCTGCAAAGTTNTCAACAAAGCTTTTCAAAGTAACTTAAGCGAATTGGTAGAGCGCTGCACTAGTATCGCAGAGGTCAGTGGTTCGAATCCCGTACAGGCCTGATTTTTTTCAGGTCTGATTTTCGCTATTGCTTAAATAGCGCTATCTACTGCGAGGATCGTGCATCATACGTATCTAATACCGCAGTTCAAAATATATGAACTTCATATATTTCATTGTATCTGATTTATCACTTTCACGGGTTTATTACGAATCAACTTAACGGCCTGCTCCCAGTTGGCTTGTTAGCTCAATTGGTAGAGCGCTGCACTAGTATCGCAGAGGTCAGTGGTTCGAATCCCGTACAGGCCTGATTTTTTTCAGGTCTGATTTTCGCTATTGCTTAAATAGCGCTATCTACTGCGAGGATCGTGCATCATACGTATCTAATACCGCAGTTCAAAATATATGAACTTCATATATTTCATTGTATCTGATTTATCACTTTCACGGGTTTATTACGAATCAACTTAACGGCCTGCTCCCAGTTGGCTTGTTAGCTCAATTGGTAGAGCGCTGCACTAGTATCGCAGAGGTCAGTGGTTCGAATCCCGTACAGGCCTGATTTTTTTCAGGTCTGATTTTCGCTATTGCTTAAATAGCGCTATCTACTGCGAGGATCGTGCATCATACGTATCTAATACCGCAGTTCAAAATATATGAACTTCATATATTTCATTGTATCTGATTTATCACTTTCACGGGTTTATTACGAATCAACTTAACGGCCTGCTCCCAGTTGGCTTGTTAGCTCAATTGGTAGAGCGCTGCACTAGTATCGCAGAGGTCAGTGGTTCGAATCCCGTACAGGCCTGATTTTTTTCAGGTCTGATTTTCGCTATTGCTTAAATAGCGCTATCTACTGCGAGGATCGTGCATCATACGTATCTAATACCGCAGTTCAAAATATATGAACTTCATATATTTCATTGTATCTGATTTATCACTTTCACGGGTTTATTACGAATCAACTTAACGGCCTGCTCCCAGTTGGCTTGTTAGCTCAATTGGTAGAGCGCTGCACTAGTATCGCAGAGGTCAGTGGTTCGAATCCCGTACAGGCCTGATTTTTTTCAGGTCTGATTTTCGCTATTGCTTAAATAGCGCTATCTACTGCGAGGATCGTGCATCATACGTATCTAATACCGCAGTTCAAAATATATGAACTTCATATATTTCATTGTATCTGATTTATCACTTTCACGGGTTTATTACGAATCAACTTAACGGCCTGCTCCCAGTTGGCTTGTTAGCTCAATTGGTAGAGCGCTGCACTAGTATCGCAGAGGTCAGTGGTTCGAATCCCGTACAGGCCTGATTTTTTTCAGGTCTGATTTTCGCTATTGCTTAAATAGCGCTATCTACTGCGAGGATCGTGCATCATACGTATCTAATACCGCAGTTCAAAATATATGAACTTCATATATTTCATTGTATCTGATTTATCACTTTCACGGGTTTATTACGAATCAACTTAACGGCCTGCTCCCAGTTGGCTTGTTAGCTCAATTGGTAGAGCGCTGCACTAGTATCGCAGAGGTCAGTGGTTCGAATCCCGTACAGGCCTGATTTTTTTCAGGTCTGATTTTCGCTATTGCTTAAATAGCGCTATCTACTGCGAGGATCGTGCATCATACGTATCTAATACCGCAGTTCAAAATATATGAACTTCATATATTTCATTGTATCTGAAGAGATTTATTATACGACTGAAGTTCAGAGGGACACAAGTGCGGTATCATTCGGGACCATTCGGGACAGTGCCCGGTCCAATACTTAGAGAATATTGGACCGGCAATAGAGCATTTTGATCGGTTGATTTTAGTTATTGGCCCTCTGACTGCCTGAATCGTGTAATAAAATTTTTTATTGCCACTTTGATGTTCAGTGATGCGCCCGTTGTTATTAATATAAGTGGCCAGTTGGTTTAGAGCTACTTGTTCGCACGCTTTAGATGCTACAGGCAAAAGCAAGACTGGGCGATTATTATATTAGTGATCTCGTGGTCCCTTTCTTTCAATAATGGAACGACCTCAGATTTTTTCCAAGCTGACGGGAAGACTGAGGTCAATAAGGAACGGTTAACAATAACTGTAAGAATTGGAAGAATACATGGAAGAGCATCCTTAAGTACAGACGTCGACACTTTATCGTGACCCGGGGCTTTGTTTGACGGTGAAGACATCACAATCTTCTGAATCTCCCTACTAGACACTGGATTAAAACAAAACTTGTCCACTTCTGAGATTTCATTATCTGAAACAACGGCCAATAGAGGGGCCAGATTGTGAACGATTAGTAACCGGGCGTTTTTACAGATTAAAGATCATTATCACACATTGTACTCAATAGACTGAGTCTGCGCAAAGATCATGCTCTGCTAAACAAACAACCAATTATATTAACCAGTTAATTACGTTCATATTTGAATGACAAGACTGATCATAACAAGTTCCGACAACGTGGTACCTTGTTTCCGTGTGAAATAAAACTGGAAAGGGTGCCTCATTCTCGAAGTGATCTTTGTCTTACTTGAAAGCTATTCGTTGTATTCATTAATTTATAGGCGCTTTGATCTATTATCTGCTGAGTTGTTTAACGTAATTGATCGGAATGGAAAAGTGGAGGGGAAAAGGTCAGGATTTTGAGAACGAAAGCCTTTAAATGAACTTTTGGAGAAAAGCGACAGACGCCTTTTTTATAACCTCAAACATGATGACCATCCATTAAAAAGCCTACTCCCAAGATACAGACTATATTGTAAACATTCGAAGGAAATCCATTGTCAGGCACAGCATTAACACTGAACGTTTTAAACATAGCTTTCTAATAGATTGATTTTTAAATATAGTCTAGCTGTGTAAACACCCCATATGCATTTCTAATCATTTTTATTCGATTTAATGATTGTAATTTTTCCCATCAATATATATTTTTACTGTAACATCAGATATGTAATTTTATCGGATGATTTTTTTAATAAAGACGAATTTATTTATTTATTTATTTATTTAAATGATATTCTAGAAGCGTTCCGCTTTGCATATCTGCATAGGCATGATTTGTTTCGGGCAGCACGAAAAAGCTCAAAATGTTTACCTTGAATGTCAGTTTCTTGACTATACTTGCTGCCATTCCTTCTCGAGACTGACAGAAGGTAATGAGCAGTTTTAAGAGGAATCAGACCTTGGTCTTAGGGGACAGGAGACTTTTGGACTCTGTAAATTGGTGATCTGGCCATCAGCCCATAAGGTAAGAAACTTATGAACGGATGAGTTTCATTTTCGATCTGAAAATCCATTACTCTAAGTTCCTTTCTCATTTTCAATTTCTTCTTGTTTTCATGATCAACTTTATGATCGTCGAGACTTCGGCTTTGTACACAAAGAGTAATCTAACTGAACGACATAAACGGGGCCAAGCGGTGAACGGTGAAATGAGTGTGATTCGTCAAGGTTATTCGAAAGCAATCGCGACAGATATAGCATAACTCGGTTAATTCTGGTATTAAATCGTTTTCACGATTTTATGAGTTTACATAGTTTTGATTACATACGAGAGTAAAAGGCGCAGCCATCGAGTAGGTGTTCAAAGCCATTATAAAAGAGGCTAATTAATTATATTTATAATCTGTAATATTTTGCGCCTAATTTATCGTTCCCCGGTGGACGATGATGTTACAAGTCATACTTGTTACTCAACAATCTAAGGCTCCACTAAGAAACTAATAAGAGCTTTTTTGATAGTCTGAAGAGGCTTCTTTGTATGAGATACTACATAATTTTCTATTAACTGAGTTGAGCTATTCGACAAAGGCACATGTTTTCATCATTTCCGGCTACGGTGTATCGAAACGTCATTTGCATTGTTATATTGGGTGACGTATTTGGCTTGAGCGACTTTAAAAGAATTTTGCCTCGTCACGATTCCTAACACTATTTCAAACTGGCCATGTTCAGTTGTTACAAAACTCCCGTGGGAAGACTCAACATTTTAAGCGCAAATTTGCCATGTGTGAAGAATCTGTGATTCTAACTTTCTGCGCATGCATTGTTTGGTGTTTCATGGGCCATTGGACATCTAATGAATTGAACTATCACAGAAATTGACTTTCATTACTGAGTGGTTTGCTCAAGTAAAACTTTCGACTGTTCTTCGTGTCTACGCATTTACAAAATTGTTGACACCTTCGTGAATAGTGATGGAATAGTTTTTTTCACTCAGGGCTATTTAAACCAAGAATATTAAAATGAGATATTTATTTAAGCATGGTTTGTCTATTTCCGAAGAATAAAAATTGATTTTTCACGCTTGTTCAAAGGCCGGATTTTATCATACACTCGTTAAGTTGCAATCACGGATGATTTTGTCCTACCGGTTGTTCGAAGGACGTATAGCGCTGACCAATATCCTTTTCAGTGAATAAAACTATTTATTGCATGAAAAGACGGGATCATATATCTTTACCCAACGTATGAAGTAGATATAGTTACAAAGGCTACATAGTGGTATTACCTTTTTATCCTGCCTTCTTGCGTGTTTGTTTTTGGTCATGAAGAGATCTTACATGTGTTTATTTTAGGATATATCCTTCATGGCTTCTAGCGCTGTACCAACATTCCATTCCACCAAAGAGACAACTAATTACGCCCGATTATGCCGGCTTCTGGTGGATGTCAGTACACACATCCTGAGAGAGACTTTTGACAAGAAGCGTCCACCAGGGAAGCTGGATACAGTTCTTTTAACTCCTCCCGTTCACAGAGCTTTACAACTACTCAAGAAAAGAAAGGTTTTGAACCCATCGCAATGGGGCAAACTGTATCCTGCTATCAAATCGTCAGTTTCATCGAAGCATTTCGATATCACCCTACTGATGGTTCTGCTGAGGAATATTTGTGGCCTTGTTCGCCCGGCAACTGGTTGGGATACGCTTCCTGCTACAGCAGACACAACCCTCGAGGCAGATATCGTTCGTATCAAGTGCTACAGAAACAGAGTTTATGGTCATGCCACTAAAGCCTCAGTTGATGACGCAACATTCAATCAATACTGGATGGACATCCAAGATGCATTGGTGAGACTGGGAGGAGCAGGATACCAAAGTGATATCGATGATCTGAAAAACGAAAGCATGGACCCTGAGTTTGAGGAACATTACAAAGAGCTGCTTAAACAATGGGTAATGGATGAAGTTAGCATCAAGGAAAGATTGGATGAAATCGTCAGGAGGCTGAATGAACGGGGAGAATCCACATCAAATCCTGAAAGAAAAATAGGAGTGGAAGGTAACCTTGGAACCTAGACTAATGTGCTTGACATGAACTGGGAAATTCAAAGCAGGATTATAACAAATTGGAAGATGACAAAGTATCATTCTATCAGTAATTCTTAGAGGTTTTAGCATTTTTTAAACCACCTGACAACGAGAAAAACTTGTAACACCAATTTAATAGTTCTCTAAACTAAGAAGTTTCCCGGCATCCTCCTCCCCCCACTCCCTTAGATATATGCAGTGACGTCACCTACCAATGAGCAATGATCAGTCATAGTGGGTAAGGCCCTTTACTTCCCATGAAGAGAGGGAAGTGGTTGTCTGATGCAGTGGTCGAAACGTTGCGATAACTTTCTTTACTTAATGACTAGAGGAACCGTCGGTATCCCCCCGGGGGGCAATTTCTTAGTCATTGCATCTGTTTCAGTACCTCTTCCACACAGCTAATGCAAGTCTAAAATTTACTTTTCAGCTGTAGCAGCATACACAAATGCATTGAAAGAATCAATCAAATGCCAAACTGAATTCCACGCTGTAGCTTCTCCCACTTCGTCTAAGGTAAGAACAGATGACATATTCACAAGTATTCTCATACAACATGGACGAAAACCAGTAGAAGACCATAACAAGGAAAGAAAGAAACGCCTTCACAACTACGGTCAAGTAGATGGTAAGCCAGTAAAACACTGTCGAGAAATTTTCATGTCTGATACCGATGGTGGCGAGGAAAGGAATCCCAAATCTATTCTTGTCACTGGAAAAGCAGGAATTGGAAAAACACTTTTTTGTCAAAAGTTGATTCGAGATTGGGCTGACAACAAATTGTTTCCATCACGAAGAAATTCGCTCAATCCTGACTTCAAGTTCGCTTATCTGCTAACATTTCGTCAATTAAATATACTCGGAAACAACTGCGTTACCCTGAGGGAAATCTTCAATCGATCTTCAGTGCTAGACGACCACTCCATTATCGACGACTCCTTATTTGAGTACATTGTTGATCACCCTGAGGAAGTTTTGATTATCATTGACGGGTATGACGAGTACGCACAGCAAAAATTTATTGCAAATAAGTTGGATGACCAGTATTCGAATGACGCTCATGAGCAAATGCCAGTGGCAGCTCTGTGTGCCAAGCTACTTAAAGGAAATATCTTGAGAGGCTCGGTTGTCATGATAACCTCAAGACCCGATGAGTCTGATGACATTAAAGACAAAATTGGTTTTGACCGATGCGTGGAAATTACAGGATTTTCCGAGCAACAGGTAAAGGAATACATCGAGAAGCATTTTGAAGAAAGTGAAGATATGAAGAACGCTGTAATGGATCACATCACAAAGAATGACAATCTTGTCAGCTTTGCCCACATTCCAGTTCTCTGTTTTCTGATGTGTTCGTATTTTGAGTACGTCTTAAAGCCGGGATCGATGAATACTGACACTTTTCCAGTCAATAAGAGTGAAATTTATTTTGAAGTAGTTAATATGTTTTTGATAAATCACAGCAAAAATGAAGAAACCCCTCCCAAAGTAACATTGGAGAAGATGTGTAAGCTGGCAGCTGATTTTCTTGTAGAGAATAAGTTTCTCTTCGCTGTCGAAGATATGAAGAACTTTACTGTCGAAGAAGTCGAAAATCTGAGAGCGAGCGGCCTCCTTCATTGCGGTCCTATTTTTAGAAAAACATTTTCTGAAACGACGAAGTACTTTTGTTTCACACATTTAACTCTCCAGGAATACTTAGCGGCTCAATGGTTTGTGGAGAGCAAAAAGATCCCTTCCCGCGGAGATGTGTCAGAAATGGTTTTCATATTCATGTCCGGCATCCTATCAAAGCAAAACGACAAGGCTTTCATGCAAACGTTGATTGAAAAACTCGATCCGCAGCTCTCGAGAAACCTGCTAACTTTAAAGTGTCTCACAGAGTACCAAGACATAGAATTTGCGCAAGGGATAGTAAAGAGACACTACAAGAGAAAATGGGACCATAATGGAGATATAAGATTCGGAGAATTGCACGATGTGGACAGCGTGGCTGGGTCTTTTCTGTTAGATGTCATCAGTTCATTGAATGCCTTGGAAAGTGGTCGAAAGAATCAAACATCCCCTCAACAGACACGTTTGCAGTTGGTCAAACGGCTGAATCCCTTCAGGTTTAGAAGGAATGCATCCCCGTGTTACTTACCTAAACGGTTAATAATCCACTGGGAGTTTCCATCTCAGACTGGATTTAAAAGAATCTGTAAGGCTCTTGAGAATAATTTCTGTCCCATTACTGAACTATTTCTCGAATTTATTAAGCCTTCTTTCGAATGGGTTTCTACGATTGGAGAGATGTTGCCACTTTCAAATTTACTTGAACTACATTTGTATCGTTCTCCAATCACCGATGCTGGTGTTGTCAGTCTATGTCAAGCATTACAGACAGCAACATGTCAAGTTACCTCATTAGGTCTAAGTGGTAATCAGATCACCGATGCTGGTGTTATCAGTCTATGTCAAGCTTTACAGACAGCAACATGTCAAGTCACCACATTGCATCTGAGTAGGAATCAGATCACCGATGCTTGTGTTGTCAGTCTATGTCAAGCACTACAGATGGCAACATGTCAAGTCACCACATTAGATTTGAGTTCGAATCTGATCACCGACGCTGGTGTTGTCAGTCTATGTCAAACATTACAGACAGCAACATGTCAAGTCACCACATTAAATCTGAGTAATAATCTGATCAGCGATGCCGGTGCTGACAGTCTATGTCAAGCGTTGCAGACAGCAACATGTGAAGTCACCAAATTAAATCTTAGTGACAATCGGATCACCAATGCTGGTGCCGACAGTCTATGTCAAGCGTTGCAGGCAGCAACATGTCAAGTCACCGCATTACACCTAAGTAGTACTCAGATCACCGATGATGGTGTTGTCAGTCTATGTCAAGCATTACAGACAACAACATGTCGGGTCACCACATTAGATCTGAGTGGTACTCAGATCACCGATATTGGTGTTGTCAGTCTATGTCAAGCATTACAAACAGCAACATGTCAAGTCAGATCTTTAAACCTGGAGCGAAATTTTAAGATCACCAAGACCGGTGGGAGGCTCCTTAATGACCTGTTGAAGAAACTCCCGCATCTTGACTTACGCTGGCATCGACCTTTCTTTATGTAGTGACATGCTATAAGTACAACATCATTCATTTATAAGCATTACAAGGTTGTTAAACCTGGAAGAACATGCAATGTTAAACAAGGTCATTGCGAGGCTCTTCAAATTGCTGACTTGAGCTGGTAACCTCCCATATAGATTAAGTATCTGAAACAATGAGCAAACAATTCAAATGAAGTTTAATGTGAAGACTGTCAAAATTTATCATGTACTTTAGAATCATCCTTTTCGCCAGCACTATATATATTTCTTATAATTTTTTTTAAATACCAACCCGGGACATTTTACCTAGAAATATTTTGTTTAAGTAAAGTGTTCGCTTAACAATGACATAACTAGTGAATTGTTGGATTGGTTTTGTTTTGTTTTGATTTTTCTCAGTTTTAGCTAGTTTAGCGAAAGTTAAATTGTGTGAAAACGCAGCCAGCAGATAAGTAGTACACTCTGTCGGCCGGAACTTTTTTATGCAAATAAAAGCAAGAAAATAATGAAGAGAACGATGAGTTGTGTGCATTTTTAACATTAGAGCAAATACACTATGCCTTAAAAAATCAAAAAACGGAGTTTCTACGCTAAAAACACGACAAAAGTTAGTGGAACACTTAATTTATTTTTTATAGATCGCCGACCGCAGAAACGCTCGACTGTACTCTCGGGCATGCGCATTATGAATGTCTGATTATCCAAAATGATTGCTCCATAACATCATTTGTGTTTAAAGTAACCAATCTATCCATTAGATAGAACGCTGGACTGTTATGCGGGAGGTCGAGGGTTCGAGCCCCGGCCGGACCAACACTCAAGGTCTTAAAATAATTGAGAAGAATATGCTGCCTTTCTATAATATCAAGAAACGGTTAGATATTCTAGTCTTCTCGGATAGGGACGTATAGATGGAGGTCCCGTCTCCTGCAGGGTTAGGGGTAGGAGACGTTAATTTCCCACGCACAAGATTACTGTGTGATAGATGTCCTCCCCTGGGGTGGGATGGGTGTTGCGGTGTCCCTGCCTGTCGGCAAATCTTGTTTATAAATAAATAAATCTTCATTTCGTAATCCCGATCCTGTGTGGAAGCGTTTCGACATCTGCCTAGAGCCGGTGTAAAAAGTTTTACACTAAAATGGAAGGCGCTGGAACTCGCAGTTGGTGCTAGTGACCTGCTTCCCCCCTCCGCCACTCCCTCCTCCCCCCAAAAAATACATACAGCAACCATTTTTCTGAAATGGAAAAAGGAAGCATGCGCATTCAGTCATCTGTATAGAAACCTTACTTTTTCCGATTAAAATATAACACCTCCATAGATCAATACACTCTTAGCCAGACATAGTAAGAAAGAGTACCAATCATCAACGGGGTTACTGTTTCATCATCATCATCATCATCATCTTTATTTTCCTTATTTTAACAATACAAAGATTTACTTAGAGCGTTAACAGCTAGAAGGCGAGGAGACCCAAGAAGCCACCGGGCTTTAGGGAGAGCCACCTCACTTATAATAAAACAAGTAAAAAAAAAGTGCTGCGAATGTGCGGCTTGGCAATTCAGTGATTATTTAAGTAAAAACTCTTGCATTATCGTCTTAAAGCTGAGAAAGTTTGACGAACGAGTGACTGAATGCTTTCCAGTTCACTAGTTGTGGTGGGCTTTTAAGTTACTGGAGGGGTGTTTATTATCACCGAGATAAGAACAAAAAGAAGGATTCACACTGGGTATGGATTTAGCTAACTTGGGACCAATGTTTGCAACGTATTTACAGAATCTCCATTGGATCCGTTAATGTTCCGCCTTCAGATTTAAATGTTGTGGGAAGAGATGACTTACTTTTACGCTTGTTGATAACCTGATTTAACAATTTAATAATGATAATAATAACTTTATTTCTATAGCGGTATATACAAAAGCTCTATATCGCTTTACAATCTAATAAATATCTAAATAACAATCTTACCAAGACAAAATCAATTAAAAGCAAGTCTGAAAAGATAATTTCCAAGTTGTTTTGAGGTCAATTCTGGCATTCTCAAATTTGGGGTTTTAGTATTTTTCTTCGGTAATGCTGTTACGCCGCAAAATGTAATAATCGCCGCAAAATGTAATACTGATGCAAAATGTAATATCAATCGCCGCAAAATATAATACTAACGCAAAATGTAATAATATCGACGCAAAATGTAAATTATCACCTAACGCAAAACGTAATAACTTTTCAACGCGAAATGCAATAACTTTTCTAACGCATTTTGTAACAAAGCAAAATGTAATAACTTCTTTTAAGGATAATCGAAAAACACAAAATGCGATACAAAGTTTTAAAGCTTTTTTTGTTATATCCCAAGAACATTCCAGTACATCGTGACAAATCGTCGCGTTTTTAATCAAACCAATTTAAGTTTTAAGTTTGTACAGCCCCCCTGTGTATTTCTACCCTTGAAACACGCAAAAAGTGGAGTGACCGAAATTTTCTGAGTTACAGACGAAAAGCTGTCAATGTGTTTAAAAATCTGTGTTTTACTGAGGTGCCGAAACACACGGGGAAATTGATAAAACTTAACATGTTCACACTCCAAACGCAAATTGGTTAGACAATAAAATATGTCAGGTGTTATGAAAACACTTGAATATTTGGGCGTTGTTAAATTCAAGGTAGAGGTTTTCATGGATCAAGTGACTCTTTTCATTGCTCTAATTAATCTGTCCTTCATTCAATGATCAAGATAGAAGATTTACCATACAACACTCGCGATTATTTAATTTTCCTTAACTTAGGAAAGTAGATTTACAACATGATTTATAAATGCCCTTGCAGTAGTAATGCTATGTAACGCAACGCACTAGACACAACGATGGGCCTTTTCGCTCCACAAAAGGGTCTCAAACACTATCACTTAAAGTGCAAAAAACATTTGTACCGTTTGAGGGCGTTTGGTCAGAGCTGTTGAAGAAGAATCAAAGTGAGCATACAAATCTTTGAAAGGCTTCAAACTACGGCCTACAACGAATTTGACCTTCTCGAAAACCGGTCTCAAATTACATGCTAAAATACAGTGCTTACGTTTGTCCATGAGAACGATATAATACGTGACAAATACGCACGAAAAATACTTTTACACGTTCAGAATATATCAAATTATATTTACCTATAGTGAAAGGAAAAAGAAGTGGCCTAACTTTTACGGAATTTTAAGTCAAACTCTACCCATTTCTACCGCTTTTACCGCCATATTAAAAATAACGCTACCACAATGCAAACCAATCGGAGTGCGCACACCGCTTGGTTTGTGCTTTAAATAAATATATTTAAGTTCACTCGAAAGACAAGTATAAACTGTAGCAAGCTTGGTTATCGGCCCAGCACTTTAAGCCTGACTGATACTCGATGCCAAAACTCAGCCTCGTTCTAGGCTATGTCCACTACATTACTTTACGCCAATTAAAGAGTGCTATTATGCATTTTCCTGCACAAGAAAAACCAAACGCCGGAATTGCTGATTCTGGCCCTTTACAGCCAGAATAATAATTACGAATTTGTCTCTGACAAAGAGGAGGCGGTAAGCATTATTATGGCCTTCGAGCAGGTCGTTGTTTGGGCTCGTCACGCAACGTTGGAGAGAAAGCGTTGCGTGACGAGTTCAAATTAGGGTTGTGGAGGGGACTACACTAGCATCAGTTACCAAGTGTCCCATTTCAACCCAAATAACCAAAAAAATAACTCCTGCATGCGTAGCATGTCTATGTTTTATTTATAATTTGTTTATCTTAGTTAAATTAACCTTTGTTTGTTTTTAGTTTTCAACTGTAGCTGTGAATTTAGCTGTGTATAAAAAAAACTAAATAGGATATTATTAGTTCAAAAGATCACGCTCGCGCTGTTGCGGGGAACATGAGCGGTTACTGATAAAAAAGGGAAACATCTTCCTACAGGCGTGATAAGTGATTGGTACCAAATTGAATGATGCTTTCATTCGCCTTCATACCATATAGTGAAAGCTGTAATGTGAGAGGAATTATCATGACGAAATAGATATCGAGCAGAACATAATTTGATAATGGCGAAAAAGCCTAGATTGAACCCTGACAAACCTTAGCCATGCCTTTATCTGCACCATCATCTTAGATATTGATGAATTAGTGGTAAATACGGATAATTATTTATTTTTGAAAAAAAGCAATCGTAATGGTCTTTTGTCGAAGAGTATTTATTAAGCGTCTCACCAATTCCTCATGGTCTTCTGCTTTCATTTACATCGCTGAACGAGCACCTCACAGGCTTTTTACAAAGTCAGCTAGTTTCCAGCCGGCTCGCTTTGCTTGCCAGCGGAAGGTATAAGAGAAGTCTGGCACAAGACCTTCGCGAGAAACTCACCAGATGTTCGCAAAGCAGCGCCAATGAGGGCTAACTCGCAAGCAATGGTGGTCTTTCACGGTTGTTCAAAGACCGGATCTTATTATACGCTCGTTAAGTCGCAATTCAAGGATGATTTTATCCAAAGTGTCCTACCGGTTGTTCAAGGAATGGTGCTATCCCTATCCCTTTCAGTCAATAAATTTATTTGTCGTAGGAAAAGACAGGATCATAAATCTTTACCCGAAGTATGAAATAGATATCATTTACAAATGCTACAAATTAGTGTCTACTTTTTATTGTGCCTACTTGTGTGTGTTTTTGGTCATAAGGAGATCTTAAATGTGTTTATTTTAGGAACGATTAACCGTGGCTTCTGAAGCTGCACCAACATTCCATTCTATCAAAGAGGCAACCAATTATGCCCGATTATGCCGGCTTCTAATGGATGTCAGTTCACACGTTATGAGAGAGACTTTTGACTAGAAGCGTCCATCAGGAAATCTGGATTCAGTTTTGTTAAGACCTCCGGTTCACAATGCTCTACAACGACTTAAGAATAAGAAGGTTTTGAATTCATCATGATGGGACAAACTGTATCCTGGTATCAAATCTTCAGTTACTGATCGAAGCATTTCGATATCACCTTCCTAATGGTTCTATTGAGGAACATTTGTAGCCTTATTCTCCTGGCTACCGGCTGGGATACACTTCCTCCTGCAGCAGACACAACCATAGAGGCAGGTATCATTGGTATCAAGTGCTACAGAAACCCAGTTTATGGTCATGCCACCGAGGCCTCAGTTGACCGATGACGCAACATTCTATCAGTACTGGATAAACATCCAAGATGCATTGGTGAGACTGGGAGGAGCAGGATACCAAGATGTTATTAATGATCTGAGAAAAGAAGGCATGGACCCTGAAATCTAGGAACATTACAAGGAGCCTCTTAAACAACGGGTAATGGATGAAGTCAGCATCAAGGAAAGATTGGATGAAATTGAAAAGATCGTCAGGAAGCTGGATGAACGGACAGAATCCACATCAAATCCTGAAAAGAAAACAGGAGTCGAAGGTAACCTTGAAA